AAAAAAAACTTGTTCCCACGAAAACGGCTCTATCTTTAGAAAAATAAGGTGTCGCTTTGAAGAAACTATTTTTTTTTTATTGCCCTTTTAGGCAGACGAGCATACGGCCCACCTGATGGTGAGTGGTTACCGTCGCCCATGGACTTCAGCAATGCCAGGGGCAGAGCCAAGCCGCTGCCTACCGCTTAATACTCTCCACAAGCCTCGTTTGAAGAAGGACATGTCATAGCGCTCGGGAAACACAGTGGAGGGGAGCTCATTCCATAGCCGGATGGTACGTGGCAGAAAATACCTCTGGAAACGCACTGTCGATGACCGCAGTGGCTCCAGGTAGTATGGATGAACTCTACTCCGGTGGCGGGCGGTGCGATGGTAAAAACGAGATGCCGGTATCATCTCGAACAATTCCTCAGAGCACTTGACAAATATGAGTTAACTTTTACGCTATCGAGAACGTTAAAAAACTCGCACTAAGCACACAGCTGTACGTTCCGATCGTCCGTTAAGATGGGTCAGTCCATTTAATGAAATAAACAAAAGAAAACGACGTTTCTTCGTTTATATTCACGTGAAAGATCCTATTTACATAGAAGTACGTGTGGAGCGTCCGTCTAGCGAGGAGAGTCCATTGTTTCGGGCGAAATGTCGGAATGTTTGCATGGGTGCCGGTTTCAGAGTGCTTCAATCAATACGAGATAGAGTAACGTAAATAGATAGTTAAAGCCTTGTTACCTATGCGGTGTGTTTCACAGTGTGCTTAGTGCGAGTTTTTTAACGTTCTCGATAGCGTAAAAGTTAACTCAAAATTTGTATGGAGTTGGAACGTTTGCTTACGTTTGCCGCTAGGGGCGCTGTTCCAACTGCATACAAATTTGAGTTAACTTTTACGCTATCGAGAACGTTAAAAAACTCGCACTAAGCCGACAGGTTTCCATAATACAGGCAGATGATCACGTTCATAGCTAGAATTGCTTCTATGTTGATCATGAGAAACATATATCGAGGGGTGAAAGGCTATTTAATAATGTTTTTATTTATTGCTTAGATGAGTGCCCATAGACATAGGTACACAACACAGGTAAATGCCGCCGCCCACCTTGACATACCTAATATGAGTTCTAAGGTCTCAGTATAGTTACACTGCTTGGTTGGACATTTATCTTTGTAATAATGTGCGCTTTATTTGGTATTAGCATAAACAGTTCGATGTTTTTTATTTGAACTTCAATTAAGTTGTACTCCATTCAAATTGCTGAAGAAGTTTTTTTAATTTTTTATTATGTTGTTTTTTCTCAAATATTTAAAACTTTAAATGGCAATGTAAAGTTGCAAAAATGTCGCTTGGGTAAACTAAATGGCCTTACAGCCCTCGATATGAAACAAGAGCCGTAATCGAAACGACTGGGACCGAATCATTAGTACAGTTAAGGTTATAAGAAAAATATAGTTATTTCCAGATATTTTTTTGGAATATTACGTATGTGGTATATACGTAATATGCCACAAACGCGGATGTAGACTATACGCGTTTTATAAATATAAATTGAATGTCGTAAATGATGTCTATGGGCTCCAGTAATCACTTAGCACCAGGTGGGCTGTAAGCTTCTCCACCCAACAAAGCAAAAAAAACAAATGAAAGACGGTATATTAATATACAACTTCCTTTTTTTTAAATTCCAAATACAGGACCTATATCTTTACATTTCGTTAAATATGTTTTGATACGATGTTGAATTATGTACATTTTTTATTTACATCATTAGGGAGGTGGTTTTTAGAGCTGAACCAAGCCCTAGCAACATCGCTGGCAATTGTACCACTTATCATCTGTATGTAACAGAGTATAGTCATGTTATTGTTTGCCTTTGAAGGCAAAGTAATAGTGTATTTTTTTTCTCCCTATACATTTTCAATTTTCAAACAAAATACTATATATATATTTATTAACTCTATTGAACGTTTAAAATAATTCTGTCGCTCTCCTGAAAATTATGTTTATGCCCAGTCTAGCATACTTGCCACGCGTCCCTTCAATGTTTTCGTATTTTTAGAGTACATTTTTTTATTTAATGTTTGAACTAATTTTGTCTATTCTTATTATGGTCTTAGCGAGAAACACTCGTAATAATTCTATAGTGTAGAGACATCTAGTGCTGCCATCTATTGGCCAAATAAAAGTATTAAAAAAACATCAAAGTTTATTTAAGAGCCATCTATTGTTTCAAAATAGAATTATTTTAATAAAAATTGATAAAGGTTGTATTGTATTTATATAAATAGTGAAAAAAATATTAAAAACGAAATGTTATCATATCAGTCAAGAGCATAGATTATACACTTAATATACTTGTCAAGAGTGCTGTTGAGAAATAGTAAGTGATAAACGTCGGTATATAAAAAAATATCCAAAACTATACAAACTTCACAAGAAACCCTTCACTTTACAGCTTACTCATTCCTACACTTGAAATTAATAATAATCCGCCCAGAGAGGGGTAATTTCAACTGAACTCATTTTAAAAAGAGCGCGATCGCTTGCTACTGACGATCACGAGTGGTCAATGTGATTTTGGCATAATTAATAAACTTATGTCTACGTTTTAATTATGTAAAGTTTACTGTTTATTTGTTTCTCTGTATACTATTATACAGACAATTTCCAGTACAAAGTGGTTATAAAATGAGATATCTTTAGTACATTTATTACACAATTTTTTAATCCAATTAAACAAACTGGCAGCTCCGAGCGCCATAGACAATGACGCATTCATTGAACTTTTGAAGGACGTTCTTTCCCGCGCTTTTCAATTTTTAGCCAACATTATAGTAAAAAATCTGTGTTCGGAAACAGCTATAATTTAAAACTGTACTAGATTTCAGAATAGTTTCTCTTTTTGACGGAATAATTTCCTTAAGTTATTTGATTAACGTTGCAAAGTTCAGCTCTTTAATAAGAACACGATACCGCTCAACATTATTCTATACACACCTACAGTTGATATAGCCTAGAAATATTATAAAGCTCTTTATTCACAAAAATAAACTGTATGCTGTATGCTGTCGGTTTATAAAAACTGTATGCTATCGGTCTAAAATGACAATACCACACCTCTTCTGTTAAGTATCGTAGAAGGTGACTAATAGATTCACAGGAGAGTGAGCGACAGCGTTCTCTGAGTAATATAGCAGCGCACTGCGACGACAACCAGTTTTTACTAGAAGCATGGCATATTGTAAGCTTGTAGGGATCATTAGGGTGGATTGATCTGATCTGAACACACAATATTATAATACCAACCAACCAAGATGCTAACATTCACGACTTAGGCCTTCTTTAAGCTTTGCGCCGATTGAAGCACAATTTGAATTTGGTGTTAATGTACGAGAAAGAAGAAAATTTAACCATGTTATTATAAATCTGCTCGACTCAACAGTAGCAAGTAAATGGCAGATGTTACCGAAAATTCTAAATCAGAATGCTACCAATACTTGAAGATGGAACTAATGAAACGCCTTTCTGCTTCTCGAGAAGATAGATTGCTACAACGACTGCTGGATGATGAGGACATCGGAGATTAAAAACCGTCCCGATTCCCACCTCCGCAAATTGGCAGGAGTAGTTTTTAAAAACGAGGACATAATTCGACAATTATGGATTTGTCGCTTGCCAAACAACACTTAAGCCATCCTCGTCACTAAAGAGGACCTGCCACTAGAGAATCTAACCGATATAGCTGAAAGAATCATGGAAGTGTCTGCACCAACATCTTTTTAGGTTGTACAAGGTCTGAACTCGCAGAGCTCAAGTTACGCATTGAAGCTCTTACGAAATCTTTTGAAATATTTAGCACAAAAACAAGGTCACGATCAAGAGCACGCAATGACAAAATATATAGATCACGTCGGGGTCACTCATCAACTATATTTTTATGTAAATTTTCTTCAACCTTCTTTTTAGCAATGTCATCTGTGATTATCCTTTTCTTTTTCGACTTCCTACAAATAGGTTGAAGTATGTTTAGTCCCAACAGATCTACACTACCGGACTAAATATTTCGGTCTAGTTGGAAGATGAGACAGCTGCACAAAAAATAGCCCTTAAATAAATAATTTTAAAATTAAATAAATAAAAAGTCACTAAGTACTGAAAATTATTTCTGATTATTAATTCGCCCTTTCAAGAGCTCAATGATAATTTTACTCAAGGAAAGTCAAACTTCAGTTGAGCTCCAATTATTTTAATCATCTTTAACTGTCTAGAGTGGTCTAGTTAATATTTATTAATTGAATCTTAAACATAAATTATAGATTATCAAAAACGCCAATTTTTATTTAAATAGAATGCGATTTTAAAATATTCTACAATCATATTTTATAACAGTGGTGTATCCGAAAATTGTGAACAATATGGTTTTATCAAAATAAAAGGCTAAAGGTTTTTTTACGTCTTTTATCATTGTTAATTAAATTTAGCTTCGAAAACTTCATCAGAATTCAAATTACATTTGCATTTCTAAGTCATTACGATATTTTGCTTCGATTAACTAGTTTACAACAGCAAAATTTTATATGATGTATATAATTCCCTTGGCCATAGTTCGTTTTTAAAACAATTAAATGTAGTAGACAAATTCTTGACGTCCGACGCCGTTCTAACTCTTTTTGTTATGTTGGTAGCGCTGTTGCTAACGCCATTTTTGTTGTACACTATAAGCTTCATAAGGTGATTTTTTTATACTCATGGGAATAGTTCACGGGTGCGAAAGAGAAAACCGAGTCTGATTGTATTAGCAGCTTCGACTAACCTGAATATTTTCTTCAAAGCTTATTTACGACGTTTCTCATTGTCTATGTTCTATAGATACGCATCCCGAACAATACATACGGTGTATTGCTTTTAGTAACAAATGTATAGTGAAAATGAAGGAAAACGCGGTACTTAAGTGGCAAAANGGAATAGTTTACGGGTGCGAAAGAGAAAACCGAGTCTGATTGTATTAGCAGCTTCGACTAACCTGAATATTTTCTTCAAAGCTTATTTACGACGTTTCTCATTGTCTATGTTCTATAGATACGCATCCCGAACAATACATACGGTGTATTGCTTTTAGTAACAAATGTATAGTGAAAATGAAGGAAAACGCGGTACTTAAGTGGCAAAAAGTGTACAATCCTACCGGCCCTCAACCGCGACCCCGCCATGGCCATCGCGCGGTCGCCATAAAAGATTTGATGATAGTTTTCGGCGGCGGAAACGAAGGAATCGTTCACGAACTGCATGTCTTCAATACCACCACTAATCAGTGGTTCGTACCAGTCACAAAAGGAGAAGTCCCACCAGGATGCGCTGCCTACGGCTTCGTGGTAGACGGTACGCGCCTGTTAGTTTTTGGCGGCATGGTAGAGTACGGCAAGTATTCAAATGATTTGTACGAATTACAAGCCTCTAGGTGGGAATGGAAACGTTTAAAACCACTGCCACCAAAGCAGGGTCTTCCACCTTGTCCACGACTCGGTCACAGCTTTACGCTTCTCAATGGGAAAGTATACCTGTTTGGCGGACTGGCCAATGAAAGCGACGATCCAAAAAATAACATACCGAGATATCTTAATGATCTATACATTTTAGGACTTTATCCTAATTCATCTATGACTGTTTGGGATATACCTTTGACCTACGGTCAGTCTCCACCTCCCCGAGAGTCTCACAGTGGGGTAGCATATACTGACAAAAACACAGGCAAATCATCTTTAATTATCTATGGAGGCATGAGTGGATCTCGCCTTGGTGATTTGTGGATACTTGATGTTGACACAATGTCATGGTCTCGACCGGAAGTTGGAGGACCTCCACCTCTTCCTAGATCACTTCATACAGCTACAGTTATCGGCCACCACATGTATGTCTATGGTGGCTGGGTACCGCTGGTCCCTGATGAATCTAAACTTGCTACACATGAGAAAGAATGGAAGTGCACAAACACCCTTGCCTCATTGAACCTAGAAACAATGACTTGGGACAATATAGCACTGGACAAATTTGAGGAATGCGTTCCTCGGGCTCGAGCTGGACACAGTGCTGTTGCTATTCAAACTAGACTGTACATATGGTCTGGAAGGGATGGATATAGGAAAACTTGGAACAACCAAATCTGTTGCAAAGACCTTTGGTATCTTGAAGTAGGAGTACCACCACAAGCGGGACGTGTAGCCCTTGTACGTGCTGGCACCACATCATTGGAACTATGCTGGCCTGCTCTCAACACAGTTACCACTTATTTATTGCAAGTACAGAAATGTGGCAAAGTGACACCTACACGTTTCCCGGCTGCCTCTGAACCTGTGGTTGCACCTCCTCCTGCATCTCCTGCTGCCACACAGACTGATGCTGCTAAAGCTTTTGGTCTATCTTCTCCAGTTTCTTCATCGATCCCCATCACACCATCTGATACAAATGCTCGTGTAGTAGTTACAGTAGCTTCACCTATAGTGACACCAATCATCACGACTCCTCAAAAAGTAACACCTGGAACACTCAAACTGTCTGCTCAAGCTGCCACCGTAAAAGTCACGCCGGGCACTCCAACTACGAAACAGTCATTCCAGGCGAAAGCAATAGTCAAATCTCCCGCTAATCCTGCGACGCCTAGCTCCTCTCAACAGATCAAAGTGGCCGCGGTGACGCCGCAAGGTGTGACAAGAATCGTAAGTGGCGTCTCGACACCAGGAACCGTACGTGTCTCTACAGCACAGTCTGGTGCACAGATTGTGTTAGGATCGGCCTCTGGAGGCGCCGGTACGCCGCGTTACGTACAAGTGAAAACAGGCGGGAGTGGTGCTGTTCCTGTGAAGTTGAGTGCTGGTAATATGCCTGTCAAACTTGCAGGTAATGCAGTCCCACTAAAGATTGGTACTACTAACATTCAAGGAAAATTGACTCCCAGCAGTGTGCAGAAAGTAGGACAAGTCACTGCTGGAAATCTACCCTTGAAACTTGGTGCCGGTAATGTCAAGATTGGTACGAGTAATGTTCTTGTAAAAACAGCAGGCGGAATGCCCTTACAGGGTGGTGTTGCAAACCTACAAACAAAAGTCGCCACCGGGGTTCCTGTGAAACTAGGCGCCGGTAACATTCCTGTGATAGCCAGCTCAGGGGGCACGATTCAAATAGCAGGTGGAACGCTGGCTGGCCAACAAGTAAAAACACCTGTATATAAGATATTGACAGCAAAATCAGGTGATCAAACAGCAACAGTGGCTACATCAACAGCAACTGGTGCGACAGTACTGAGGCAAGCAGCTGGCAATGCTGGTATTCCCGTCATCATAAAGAAAACAGGTGCAGGTGCGCAAGCAAGTAATACACCGCAATTTGTTACCCTTGTGAAGACCTCAACGGGCATGACTGTAGCAACTATGCCAAAAGTAGCAATGATGAACAGGTCTGGAGCAGCCGTTTCTCAAGCACAAAACATCGCTCCGGGGGCCACTATTGTAAAGTTAGTATCTAACACTGTTGGTGGTAACAAAATTATCACTTTACCATCTAATATGTTGCAACTAGGTAAGGCTGGTGTTGGTGGAAAACAGACCATAGTAATCACCAAATCAGCTAGCCAAGCAGCACAGTCAAATCAACAACAGTGAGCTGGCAACAATTTGTCAACTGTACTCAGAGTGCCCTTAGCTGTGAACCGGTGCGTGTGAGTCATGCAGAGTGTACAGGTTGAGTCTGGAGCGGTGTGTTCACAGTATGTAAATTAAATTAAATTCTGAGTGTGCTCCGATTGAGTTTCTATTTTAAATCATAGTTGTTTTGTATGTTAAATAGGTCTGTGTAGAAAATGTCCTCATAGAATTCTAANCAATTTGTCAACTGTACTCAGAGTGCCCTTAGCTGTGAACCGGTGCGTGTGAGTCATGCAGAGTGTACAGGTTGAGTCTGGAGCGGTGTGTTCACAGTATGTAAATTAAATTAAATTCTGAGTGTGCTCCGATTGAGTTTCTATTTTAAATCATAGTTGTTTTGTATGTTAAATAGGTCTGTGTAGAAAATGTCCTCATAGAATTCTAATACAAGAAATATTTTATTTACAAGCTCCTGAAAAATTTTAATATTTTAACTTTCATTATTTCCAAAGTATATTGAACATCTCATGATCTGTCGTGAGTTATTGTTCACTCACATCATAGAAATGTTATAACTAAACCTGATAGTCACAAATGGTTATGTCTGATATTTGTGACCTGGATTTGACAACCTCATGCAAGTGCCTGGTGTGCAGTTCTTGTTTGTGCTTAGATAATATAATTACCAAGACGGGGCAATTTATTGTTTAATTCAAAGGAAATGTTTATATGCTTCATTTATATTTTAAGCATGTGTTTGTTTTATTCCTGTATTAAATATTTTTATACTGTAATAATAATTATTATTATGTGTTGTTTATTGTACACATTTAATAGATTTCCATGAGCGTCGCATTTGAATACATCTGAATACACCTAGTTTTGTTGGGATGTCTTCCTTTATAAAAAGATAATTCATTTGTTTCATATAAATTTAAATTTCCTGATTTTTTTACAATGCTGCTAATAGATTGTTAGAAAATCTAAAAAGAACCCGGCTTTAATGACTACAAAACAGTGATTTCAGTAAATTCATAAAATGGATAAGCTTTTGTCATTAAAACTGGAGTTACTGTTTCTTGTTAATTATAAAATAAATGTAGTAGTTTAACAATACTTATTGCACTATTTAAGTTTTTTTTATGACAATATAATACTTTTTGTAGCATTTTGTTTTTTCTTTCTTAGTTGGTCTACTTTTACACACACCTGAGGCTGTATTCCAGTATTTTTGACCATTGATCCGATATAACAAAAATGTTAAAAAAAACTGACATTGATAAAACGTGCCTGCTAAATTATGTTTTATACGTTTGAAATATTCATTTAGGCACTTCCAGCGACAATGACAACTTTATTGTTTTTTATATTATTTTCAATTACATACTACATAATATGTTAAGAAGATTAAATTTAGATTTAGAAATGCAGGTTAGAATTTTGGCGCCAATTTAAACAACGGATGTTTTCAAAGAGTATCTACTTAAAACAATATGCCGGTACAGGCTAGCTATGTAAATTAATGTTATTAGAAGAAAAATAATAAATATGGGATACTACTTTGTATTCTTTTTTTGTATATGGTATAAAAATGTCTAAATTTTATCCTGTATTTCTATTTCGATTTATGTAATATTACTTAAGCGTTTTAGATGTACGTACATAGTTTAATCATTAATTAATAGGTAAGTTAAGTGAGGCATGGAATGTAAATATCATTAAGTAGATAAATTTAATGTTATAGTTTGTTCATATAATATAATGTTCATTTGCTTGAATAAACGATTTGGATAAGTGAGCCTTTTATTTTCATATTGTTTTAAGTAGCCAAAAAACAATAAATTTTGTTGGCACAACGACAAAGGAGAGATATTCCATCGAGCGGGTTATATTGCTTGGTAGATGAACGATTCTAATGTTATTCGAAAATTAAAATTAAACGTCTGTATTTCTAAAAATAGGAGCAGGCACAAGGACCTTAAGTAGATAATCGAGACGAAGAATTAAAAAATACTATACTAACGGCGTTATATAGTTTTGAATATTAAAATAGTAAAGATCTTGAAGTAGGTACTCGATCCTAGATATATAAAATTAATAGTGCTAAATTGACAATTTACTTGATCACTAGTTTTGGAGGGAGATTTGATTTGACAAAGCAATGCTTCATCATAGTTGGACGTGAAACCTAGCCTTTAATATCAGCCTGTTGATTTGTTCCGGGATCTTAGCGGGTCACGATTCCGATCCGGGTTCTGGTCGAACCGTTCGTTTCGGTATCAATTCGATGGAACTCCTTTTCTCACCGGCCTAATCTTGGCTGGATTCCCGCAAGCTTCCGCTCCTTCCAGTTGTTCTTAGTAGTAGTCGTCTTCGTTGATTGTATCGCTATTTACTCCTTCAGTCTAGGAATATATCGTTCAACCAACGCAAACTCCAGGCCACAGTCACCACCGCATGGAACAATAGTTCATAAAGTGGCATAGACATCGACCCCACGAAAAGTATATCTCCTCAAAAGGGGACGCCCTTTCGACATCTCCTCAAGTGTCCCTCCCCGTATTAGGTGCAGGAATGCCATCCCCACGATCACTTTCGTTGGTCAGCCTATGCCTATCCTGGGCCGCGAATGTCTAGTACTTTGTAGTCACCCGTGCATACTCGGTAGACTCCATCCTATGATCTATATGTGTAGTAAATTGCTCTACAAAACTTGCATATGTATGGTCACTTAAGAAAGTGTAGTGTTATTCAATCCCCCTTTTGCAGGATAACCGGCGGAGCAAGGAGTGTGTAAGGTATATTGAACTTTACGACGACCTTAACTTAGAACCGATCCGTAAGTATCTGAAACCAGCGTCAGAACGCTACGTCGAGAAAGCGGCGCGGTACGATAAGCCTCTTATTGTAGCCAAAAAAACTGATCCGGTAGTAGATGCACTCGCGAAGCTCTTGAACTGTTAAGTCTCTTTAAGAGGCGCTCGGGCTACTGTTAAGAGATCCCACTCTTTCTGGCTAAGCCCGTGCTGCCCCAACTCTGCCAACGAAGTTGGAAAAGCCTTTAGGTCACAAGCTATCATTCCATCCCACTTTCCTTCCAGTAACCATTATTTATTCGCAGCAGAAGTAGGCAAGAGTTAGTGGTTTCTCTCTGCGAGCGGGCTCACAAGATTCCCTGCCACCATTAATTACGCTACTCATACTTTTACATACGTGTTATTCGCAAATGCGAGATCTATCATACATGGTCGGCTATCTGCGTTCGTCAACAAAGCAATTTCGAGTTTACAAATAGGCTTTGTTGCAAGAAAAGGCATTCGCGAACAAATTTTTGACATCAAACTGTTGTTAGAAAAAAGCAGAATCCAATATCACTATGGCTTCATTGATTACCCCAGGACTTTTGACTGTGACCAATGAAACGCCAAGAGAAGTGGACACCCCGGAACGTGTCACTACTCTCATACAGAACCTATTTAGATGGCAAGTCTTTTTTTATATTAGAATATCAAAAAGCCTGTAAGAAAATCCTGAAAAAGTCTATTTTGAAAAAACTTGAGATATGCAGATGAAAGGACCTCAATTGCATTAGTGATGTGGAGTTAGCTGCCCTCCTTGCAAGGAGAAAGAAAGCGTTAGACTCGGTCTCAAAATCAACGTTTCTAACACACAAAAAACATTAGTAGATGGGGAACACAAACTTCATCCTTCGCTAGCCCTCTAAGACTACGAAAAAGTAGATTAATTTGACGACGACTTCAAAAGAACAGATTTGTGAAACCAAAAGCCGTGACGAGCCGGTCGCTTCCAAGCAGCTCTCAAACTGACGTCTCAATTCTACTGGAATAACGACTACCCTGTTCTCGAGTCGAATCACGTGATTGTTTCGCAGCAGTAAGAAGGGACGATGACTCGACCAAGCCCTCAATTTGCCGTACCGCCCTTGCTGTTTGTCTATTTATAATCTGTGTTTTACAGATCCTCAAAGAATAAAACTGATTTCATTTATATAATAGTTCAGTCATTATAGGGTTTTGACCTCGGAAAATCGACATACCCAGAATATTACCCACATAAAAACTTGTATCTTGGCATTCTAAAACTATTCTCAAAATTCACATATATACATACAAAAGTTAATAAAAAATGATATTTATATATTTAGCAATAAATGATACCCTTAATATTACGAGTTTTTGATCGGTACTACCAGTTGACCTCAGATAATTCTCTGACCACCACGCCCTCTATCTCCAAAACAGTTCAACGTATAAAAAATGAGAAAAAGTGTAGAGAATTTAATTCTCTACAATATTGATGATAAATACAAATAGCGTAAAACCCATAGAAAAAGAGATACTTGCAAAAAATGAAAAAAAAAAAAAAAGATTTTGTGACCTTTGCCCCTTGACTTTAAAACTTGCGACCATCCAATTATATGTGAATAGTTTCAGGATGCCAAAATACAAGTTTTTACGTGGTAATATACTAGGTACTGAGAGATATTCCCCTATTTTTTTCTTAGATGGGTGGACGAGCTCACAGCCCACGTGGTGTTAAGTGGTTACTGGAGCCCATAGACATCCACAACGTAAATGCACCACCCACCTTGGCATAAAATAACTGGACTATAACATTGTGTAAATGCTGTAACTTCAGTAAGGTCCAGTAAGGCTGACACGGGTCACGTAACAAAACCATAAAACGTGAGACCGAAGTTTTAACTGTATTTTAACAGCTCTTCCAACCAAAATCCTTTCCTTACTAGTAGCAATAGCAGAGCGGAATAGTGATACGTATTTAGCTACCTAGTGGACTCATAATACCATGATTCACCCTGGCAGCGAAGCAACCAATCTTTGAAAATATTTGTGCACGTGTTAGTTCTTAGAAAATTGGTTAGTACATACTTTAGAAAAATGAATCTCGGTAAAGTAGCATCATTCAATACTAGTTCAACGGGGGACTTACTCATAAAGCAATGGCACTGAAGCTTCACACGATACATTCTGGTGGCAGGACCTCTTATGAGTCCGCACGGGTAGGTACCACCACCCTTCCTATTTCTACCGTGAAGCAGTAATGCGTTTCGGTTTGAAGGGTAGGGTAGCCGTTGTAACTATACTGAGAACTTAGAACTTATATCTCAAGGTGGGTGGCGCATTTACGTTGTAGATGTCTATGGGCTCCAGTAACCACTTAAAACCAGATGGACTGTGAGCTCGTCCAACCATCCAAGCAATAAAAAAAATATAAAAATACAACCAAAAACTGCAATGTGATATATTGTCGTATACAAATAAGATTCTAAAATAAAAAGAGAATATAAATTAATTATAAAAATAATTCAAATCTCAGTAAGTCTATATTATTTACGTCTTTTTCCATATTAATATCATTCATCATTCAAAATTTAATAAAATTACTTTAGTGCCATCTAGTAGCAAATAAATCATAGAGCTCCAAAAATACCTAAATGAAAAAATTCAATTCATATGTACTTCGTATTATAGATTTTAAACTAATATTTAAAATTTTATAACTAATTCTTTGAAAGGTTAGGTATAGTTTACAAAGCCGAAACGAATTCCTAGAAAATAAATTGTGAATCACTCTTACAAAGGATGGTTATTCAATTTTTTTGTAATTATTATATTTTCATAAGGACCATGCAGTTTGTAATTAAAATATTTTTCTAATGGTCGTAATATCTCAACTTGAAGAACCCATTACATATATAGAAATTATTTTTAATATTATTTTCTTATGTACACAAAATTTAATATCAGTGAAGATACAAATCGGTAGTTCAAATGTTTTTTACTAGATGGCGGTGTGTAAGTCAAATATCTGCAAAAACGATTTTATGTTTATTACCTAGATGTCACTCTTCCAAGCACACTATGACACCAATGACTATTAAAAAACTTCAACAGTTGTCCCAGTTTTTAATAAATTATTAGTTTAATTAATAACCAAGTTTATTTATAATTTCTTTAAGTATGGCAATAGGCTTCTTGCGGCATCATTGTTGCCAGTGTCGAATCTATATTCTTCAATTTGTTAATTTATTTATTTGATGGGTGGACGAGCTCACAGCCCACCTGGTGTTAAATGGTTTTACTGGAGCCCATAGACATCTAGGTACAATGTAAATGCGCCACCCACCTTGAAATATAAGTTCTAAGTTCTCAGTATTACGGCTCCCCACCCTTCAAACCGAAACGCATTAAGTACTGCTTCACGGCAGAAATAGGCAGGGTGGTGGTACCTACCCGTGCGGACTGACAAGGAGGTCCTTCCACCAGTAAGCGCAGCAACTTTGACGAAAGGTTGGACGTACGACTCAACCCACTGAATTTCTCGCCGGATCTTCTCAGTGGGTCGCGTTTCCAATCCGGTGGTAAATTCTGCGAAGCACTGCTCTTGATAAGGCTGGTGTTGGCAAATCCTTCGAGGTTGAGCTCCGTAAGCTCACCTACTCGTCCGCCCGTAGTCGGAATAGCCTACGATTGCTACTAACGATTAAGTGAGATAGGATTATGGACGGTACAAAAAAATAGAAAAAAAAAATATAGGCCAGCTAGTTTTAATTCTGTAACTTTTCATTTTCACGATTCTTTTGTTTTGTTCTTTTGAGCTTTTAATAATATTAAGCAGTTATGAACTGCTCAAAATATATTAGACTGTCGCAAACTAAGCACAACGTCTAAATACGCGAAGACCTAATATAAATGTGTGAAAATAATATTTTTGTTCAATATATTATAATAAATACGAGACTGCATCTGTTTGTTACGTTTTCACGCTGAAACTACTGAACCGATTTTCATGACATTCGATTTGGGAATAATTTGAGCCTTAGAAAACAACTAGCTGTACCCGTCCGCTTCGCTGGGCATTTAAAATTAACATTATTATTTATTATCATTATTATTAGGGAGTCCAACACTCATAAATATTAGCCTATACATTAAGTACATATATTTTCTACATGGATACCAAGTTTCAAGTCAATTGGATGCACGTCTAGTTATAACGGAACATCACCACAAGAAAGATCACCTTTATCTATACTATAATATATAGGTATAAATCTACAGTGGTTTTTACGAATGTTCCGTTATAACTACTGAACTATGCATCCGATTGACTTGAAACTTGGTATCCATGTAGAAAATACATGTACTTAATGGATAGGCTAATATTTATATGAGTGTTGGACTCCCTACACCAATTGCGGGGGCGTTAATTATGAGAATCTTTGTGGGGTTGAGAAATAATAATGTTAATTCTAAATGCCCAGCGAAGCGGAGGGGTACAGCTAGTGTATCATAATTATCAGTTATACTTATAAGAGTAGTGATAGGAACGTTGAGAAGTTTATATGTAAACAATACAGACAGCCTTATTTGCGACGAGTCAGAAAGTAAGACAGCTTCATAAATAATGTCATCTCATTAATTTTCTTATCAAAAAACGAAGGTCCTGTATTAACATTTTAATGAAATATTTTAATCGCAAAAAGTGGGTGAAGATTAGAAATATGTTTTGCATAGATTAGTGAATCACTATAGCCCGAGTTAAGCGGAGTCCAAACATCCAATGCTGCTGTAGTGTTAGGACCTGGGTCAGAAAAACCTTGTGGCATGGCATCTACCATGAGAATCAATTAAGATCTTACCAAAATTCTAATAAGGTTTGGTACTATCGTAAATTTCGACTAAAATTAATATACTCTTATTTATGTTATTGGACAAATGGGTGGATAATCTCACAACCCACCTAGTGTTAAGTGGATACTGGAGCCCATAGACATCAACAACGTAAAAGGCTCAGTTTATCAGTAGGAATAATATACTTTGTGCTAGATTTAATAAAATCACAATTAAAATATAAAAGGTTTAATTACGAATCTTAGTTCCTAAAACTTAAAGTACAAATTTCGCTTAGCCAATCAATCCGCACGTGACGATGTTTATGCAACTCCTGTTGTTCTTCTCTGGGGGAGCAGAGACCACTTTCTTCTTCTTTTTGCCATTAGCGTCGTATTTCTTTTCTTCCTGCAATATAAAAAAAAAACATATTAACACTAAGACATAGCATTTTCTTCTATTTCGCGAGTCGTAGATAAAATTAATGCTATATAGGTTTAGTTCTGAAGAAGCTGATGGTAGTTGGTCAGGTTGACGGGAGAAGATCACGCGGACGCTCACCTACCCGCTGGTCTGATCTGGTTAAGACGCTCACCGGCCTGCCAATAATCGAGGCTATAAAGACCGCGGAGGACAGGAAGACGTGGGAAAGCATTGTGCATCGAGTGGTCCACATTTTAGATTAGACACGACCTTCAGTAATGAAGAGACCGACTCTGATGCATGTTTTTGCTATCATTATCATATGGACGACTTAGATCAAACCAGCACCTCGGTGATCCGTGACCTCGAGAACTGTAATTTTCCGAAATGTCGAAAATGCAATGATATAATGACAATGAACAACGCGAGAATGATCCGTAGAATATTTTTATTGCGTTGAACGCCATCTGAAAAATCGAGTAATTTCATTCAGGCCAACAGCTATCGGAGTCCATAGACAGTAGCAAAGTAAACGCTGTCACCGATTGTGAGACTCCTAAATCCTAAATCTTAAGTTCTAGAGTACAACGGCTGCCCCACCCTTCAAACTGGAACAGAATTTAATACTTTGCTTGTTTATTTTACGATTTTTTAATTTTTTTATAACATAATCTTCTTCCATAAGCGTGAAAGTCGAATATTAAACACTTATTTCACGAAAAGAAATTGTACCTCTGCCTGCGGGATTTGAACACTAGCCCAGTCGCATCGCTAGATACGAATGCACCGGCCGTCTTATCGTTTAGGCCACGACGACTTTGCGAAATAATGTAGACAACGATTACAATTAGACGGCTTCCAGTTTTAGTGAGTTCTGCGACAGACGCGATTTGAAACAATGAATATATTTGCATTGTTTAAAGGCTTCGATCGATAGCGAACATAAATATCAATTTAAATTCCATTGTAGGGAATAACTATATATATTTGCAAGTTAATGTTAATGTTTTCAACTCAATTTTAAGGGTTCGTTTTGTTGATTACTTGTAATATATATCGAGGATGTACCTAATATAATTTAGGGCTGGCAGTGCGTTACTCTGAGTCCTCGTGGGTTAAACATATGTAACCTCTATATGATTTATGAAATAAATGTTAAAGAGGTTATAATAAGTTATACAGGTGACATAAATGGTATTTTGAGTATTGAAAACGTGGTTGTTTTATAATATACTAGCGACCCACCCTCGTTTCGCTTCGGAAACATTAAATTTTATTATGGATGATAGCTGAGTTCCGCGATGTAACCCAAACAGACAGACAGACCGACAAAAATTGTAAAAAATGTTATTTTGGTGTATGTACCGTATATATCTTCATATGCATGTAGTAAAAAGCGGTTATTTCAATATTACAAACAGACACACCAATTTTATTTATATGTATAGATTATTTTAAGGACAATAAAAGAAAGTTTAACCTGGTAAAACTATAGTACAAACTGAGTTGTTCTGCTTAGCGAAACAACTTAGGGAGTTTTTATGTTTAATTTGTTTTAAAAATGTTTCAATATTTCTAATGTTTCTTCTTCTACTATTTCCAATATTGAAAATACTGTTTATGTCACCTGTATAACTTATTGTAACCTCTTTAAGATTGATGTCATAAATAGTATAGAGGTTACACATTTTACAAGGGAGGGTACACTACAAGAAATTTCGACGGTATTTTAAGCGGTCTAAAATAATTTGACGTCAAAGTTTTTAGGATGTAGGATTTGAATAATACATGTACTATTCTACTAACCATTGTTAGTAGATATGTAACTATTTTCTTTTTTCGATTATTAGCCTCTCATACAAGTGTACAAGAAATCGAATATGAAATGTATAAGTATTGTTACGCGCTGGGGTCCGGGATAAATAAACCTCTAACATTTAGAACACTACCAAAACACTTTACAATTCGTAATTCACTTCTTCCGCTTCGCTTCGGGTGACCCGTTCGCTGTTTCGCTTCGAATAGATCCGGTTACTTTTCGTATCATCACTGCAACGCTTTTATACTCGATACGATATCTCTAATTATCGAGAACATTCTCGGTAAGGCCAGTCGTTTCCGCTATTTGATAATAGATGGCGCTAGATTTCTCGAGCGTTCTCGATATTACTAATTATTTTGATATTCGTTTCTGATATTTGTCGACAGATGGAGTTACTCTTACCGGTGTAACAGTATATTAAATTTGATTATTTAGACTACTCAATATAATATATCTATATAGGAAATATCTAGTGTTTATTAGACACGAAATAATGTCTAAATATAGAATAAATGCGTTATTATCTGTTCATGTACACTATAAGCTATAATAATCGGCCCGCGAATGCGTTTGGCATTCACTGGCCAAAAGAAATAGTTTTAGAGAGCGTACAAAATGGAGGGTTTACGCACACTCGAGTAACCAAACCGTAGGCCATTAACCCGTTCGCTTTCACCATATTCCCACGCCAACAGTAAAGGCTTGGTGATTATCATTAACTCCACCTGCGGCCCGCAATGCGTGCAGCGAGACGGCATATACCACACTAACTGCCACTCTCATAATCGAGTCATTGCTCAGTAATCGGCTACCGGCTTTTGTTTTGTTTCAACGTCACATTGAGTCTAGTATAACAAAGCTCCGAAGATCCCTTTTTAAAAAAAATTGAATCTTATTAGTGTTATCTGTGGTACAAAGCGCGTAAAATATCTCACGCCATCTTGATTTTTTGATTATTTTAATATACGTAATTAATTATTATACACTCCAGCAGATTTTTGTATTAATTTCAATTAATCAGCAGATTCATAAATCATACAAAATATTTTCCGTTCAAATGAATTAATATTCAATAATATTCAAATGAATAAGCAAGCTGCTGTGAAATTCCATTCATAAACACAAGTTTTTTTATTTTTTTATTCTTTAGTTGGATGGACGAGCTCACAGCCCACCTGGTGTTTAGTGGTTACTGGAGCCCATAGACATCCACAACGTAAATGCGCCAACCACCTTGAGATATAAGTTCTAAGGTCTCAAGCGTAGTTAAAACGGCTGCCCCACCCTTCAAACCGAAACGCATTACTGCTTCACGGCAGAAATAGACAGGGTGGTGATACCCACCCGCGCAGACTCACAAGAGGTCCTACCACCAGTAAAGTGACCGGTGTCTTGCTAGATTTGGACTAAGACATAGTCACAAAATAAAATGAGTTTAATTTTCCTTTACAACTCCGTGGGCATTTCATATAGAAAAGTAATTAAATATTTAGCAATTCGTGTGAATCAACCCATAGACACAGCTCACTGAGTATCGGTAGATTCTGCGAAGCACTGCTCTTGCTAGGGCTAGTGTTAGCAACACTCCCGGTTTGAGCCCCGTGAGCTCACCTACACGTCAAGGAGAAGCTGAAATATCCTCTCAAGGCTATCAGCATAGGCAGGAAAAAAGTATGTAACTCAACATCGTGATTCAACTGATATTATCGTAATGGTAGAACGACTAACAGTTCCCATTGAAATAAGATCTCGCATCGAATAAGCAATAGTACTTCATCTGTATTAGTATTTGGATTGCAGTGATCTGTTTACGTTATGTTGCTGATTAGGCAGAGAAATTCATCAAGATGGTCTCAAGGTGGGTGACGGTATTTTTGGTATTTAATTGTTTATGTCTATGGACTCCGGTGACCACTAAAAACCAGGGTGCTACTAACGGATATTATAAATTCAAAACCGTCTGTTGGTCCGTGCTTCATTCACAACAACGTACTCCAATTAAAGTGTTTAAGATAGAAAGAATCTACTGGTTTAGAAATGAGGTAGCTAGGACCAGCTAGGACGGTAAACACGTGTCAAAAAACAAAATCATAAATAAACTAGCCGTACTCGTCCGCTTCGCTGGGCATTTAAAATTAACATTATTATTTACATATCCTTTGCCCGCGACTCCGTCCGTGTGGAATAGTCACTTTGGCATAACGCTAAATTTTACCCCCCACTTCATTTACGTAGAAAGAAAATATTTTAATTCAAAAATAGAAAATAGAATGCTAAGGAACTGCTTAAACCCCGATTTTGAAGCATTCTTTATTGGTGCTCTTATCTTAGCATGATGTTATAGTCTATAGCCTTCCTCAATAAATGAGCTATAACACTGAAAGGATTTTTCAAATCGAACTAGTAGCTCCTGAGATTAGCGCGTTCAAACAAACAAACTCTTCAGCTATATAATATTATTAGTATAGATTGTCATTATTATTAGGCAGTCCAGCACTCATATAAATATTAGCCTATCCATTAAGTACATGTATTTTCCACATGGATACCAAGTTTCAAGTCAATCGGTTGCGTGGTTACTGAACTGCTGAGTTATAACGGAACATCCGTAAAAACCACTGTAGATTTATATATTAGTATACACTAGTAGTCCCTCTGTAGTCGAAATTCGACTATAATGAATTTAACGAAATTTTAAGTTTGGACATTATTATGCTTCTTTTGTTATAGCCTATTATACTTCTATAATCGCAGATTTTGCCCAGACTACACTGTAGACAAATAATATTAGAGACAAACAATATTAATCTATTCTCAATTTGACCTTTTTTTCCTACCTATGCTGATAGACTTGAGAGGCTATTTCAGCTTCGCCCTAACGTTTGTAGGTGAGCTCACGGGGCTCAACCGGAGAGTTGCTAACACTGACCCTAGCAAGAGCAGTGCTTCGCAGAATCTACCACCGGATCGGAAACGCGACCCACTGAGAAGATCCGGCGAGAAACTCAGTGGGCTGTGTCTATGGGTTAGTTCGCTCGTCGAGCCCTTCNCGCGACCCACTGAGAAGATCCGGCGAGAAACTCAGTGGGCTGTGTCTATGGGTTAGTTCGCTCGTCGAGCCCTTCGTCGCAAGCGACGGGTTCGACGTGGACGGTGACCGGTGCTTGTGGTGCCTAAAAGCACCGTTAATGGATCAGGAGGATCCGTAATGACGTGCTTTGGGCGACGTCGACGGTTTACCATTCGGTCTACTGGGTCAGGTATGTAGTTTCCAGCGGCTACGATGAGAGGGTTCAATTTGGCCACAGACTTTCAACAATAACAAAAGCTTGACAATAAACAAAGATAATATGTGTGTGTATGTGTTGTGTCAAATACATGGTAGTGTGTGTAATGTTTTCTTTATTGATTTAATTAATCTTTTTTGCATAATTAAAAAAAAAATTAGTATTCTGCACTCCTCTATATTCTCTATAAGTGTGAGAAATTTTATACTCCTCCGTCCGCGCAATTTTCGTAAAAAGGGGTACAAAGTTTTGCTTCACGTAACACTACATTGTATAAAACAAAGTCGCTTTCTCTGTCTTTATATCTGTCTGTCCCTATGTATGCTTAAATCTTTAAAACTACGCAACGGATTTTGTTGCGGTTTTTTTTAATAGATAGAGTGATTGAAGAGGAAGGTTTATATGTATAATAACATCCATTAAATAGTGGAGAAATCTATCATAAATTACAGTTTCCGAAGCGAAGCGAGGGCGGGTCGCTAGTTAATACATACTTATGTACATAAACAGCCTACCTCTATAATTTCTCCAATCTTGTACTTGGTCATGATGGTCTTGGCGTCGGCAGTGTGACCTGTTTGGTCAAAGTCCTTCGTGGCATCTTTGCCGGCCTGCTCCATGATCGAGTCCGGTCCATCGGGATGCTGGAATGTATTCATTTATATTCATGTACGCAATGATAATTTATTTTGTTTTTTTTTTTCGATATGGTCATAGATATGCAGACTGTTGTGTGTGTTCTGTGTCTCTGTTGCTCAGTGATGATTGGAGTCCGTAGACACCATAACGTAACTGCAACCTTGAGATGTGGGGTTAAAGTCTTAATTGCATTGTACAACCACTACCCCTCAGAACCTTTCGTAAAAGTACCAAGCAATAATCTACGAGCAGATGATATATGAAGGTTCTGATAGGTCTTGTACCAAAGTCTCATATCCTTCTAAAATAGTTACTTATTATTATAATCGTTCGCAAGAGGTGATGGGACTTTAAGCCAATCATCACTGCGACTCATATGCATATTCCCAACTGTTAGATGCGCTTGTCCAGGCCAAAATACATAGAAATATAAGTTAAATTACTTTCGTTAGTGATATTTTCTTCACCTCTTCAGGGTAAAAAGTGTGCTCTCCTCAATTACACATTGGTCATACAATATATGCAGCATCAGAGTTCCTTTATCTTCCTCACAAGACTTAAAGACAAGGTGATTTGTCTTTTCAACATGAAGTCTAGCAGTCTCAGCTTACTGCGATCTACATTACGTAATTGGTGTAAGGTTTATCGACTAATTTCAACAGGATTCGTTTAAGTATATACTTGTATGTTTTATCTTAGGCGCTAAACTATGTACTTTAATGTTTTTAAACTTATAGCTAATATCATTAGCACGATTAGCCTTCTTCTGCAAAACGAAAAACATTTCAATATCCGGCTTATTCTTTGACACTTTTTGTTCCCTACCTATTCACTGGTAGCCTATGGGGCTATTTCAGCATGCGCGGATGGGTAGGTGAGCTCACGTGCTCAACCTGAGAGAATGTGCTAACACTAGCCCTAGCAAGAGCAGTGTTTAGCAGAATCTACTACCGGATGGGAATCGTACTCTAGTAGGCTGTATCTATAGGCTAAAATCCGACACCAAAATGACACCTTAAAAGAGCTGAAGTGAAATTCTTTATAAGCACACTATACTTATTGTAGCTACACGTAGCTAAACTAATGTGAATAGCACACTGCAGCCTACTACCGCGTTACGAAAATGAATTCATCGATTCTTATTGTTACGCGCTGGGGTTCGGGATTAATAAAAATTCTACCGAATTACAAGTTAACACTGTAGCACTGTTAGCACTTAGAACACACACAAAACACTTTAAAATCCTCAATTCGCTCCTTCCGCTTCGCTTCAGGTGATCCGTTCGCTGTTTCGCTTCGAGTAGTTCCGATTACTGACTGACTGCGTGCCATCACTGCAATGCTTTTATAGTCGAGACGAAATCCCTAGAATCGTCAAAAATATTCCACAAAAGTCGAGTATTGTGTGTTTCCGCTATCTGACAACAGATGGCGCTGTACTTCCCGAGAGTTCTAGATGCTACTCGATCTTTCGATATTCGTTCGACTATTCGGCAATAGAGGGCGTTACTCTTACCGGCGTAACATTATTTTAGATTGAATTATAACCTCATCCACGTGAAAATATTACCTCATCCACGTACGTTGTGACATCGTAGACTGAATCCTTGTAGATAATCCACACGGGTGCGTTTTTCCCGTTACGCGACGCTACGTCCGCCAACGTGTACCTTTGGACATCGCCCATTGCTTAAATCTGGAAGTTGGAATTTCACTATAAGAATGTGGCGGAATTAACTTACACGGTTTGCAAATGCTGCGTACTTCTGCAGCGAAGCAATTTCGCGGCCTGGACAACGTATTTCTGTGACTCTTATGATGAGTAAGAATTCGACTGATGTTTTGAGTAGGATCGCCCCAATTGTCATGTGTACGGGCTTAAACTGAAGTCGGCTGTGATGTACTGGTGGTAGGACGGGTTGTGAATCCACACGGGCAGATACCACCACCCTGCCTATTTCTGCCGTGAAGCAGTAATGCGTTTCGGTTTGCAGGGTAGGGCAACCGTTTTACTATAAAAACTGAGACCTAAAAACTCATATCGGTGCCGTAGGTGGCGGCATTTACGTTGTAGATGTCTATGGGTTCCGGTAACCACTTAACACCAGGTGAGCCGTGAGCTCGCCCAGCCCTCAGTAATAAAAAAAATCGTCTATCCATCTAAAAGATATCAGGTCGAAAATTTTTGTGTAAGATAATAATGAAGTTAATGTGAGAAGCAAAGGTTGACATCTTTAAGGACATTCCACTTTTTGTTGTTAACCTCAAGATGTCCACGCCTGGTAGAGGGACAACAATCACTGGTTCGCTTGTGTAGCCATTTACAAGACAATCCGAAGTAAAAGTATACTAGTAGAAATGTTATTATTTGTTACACAAATCGGGACACAATGTACACATATTTAATAATAATAATATTAATAAATAATTACTGACAACCACGCCACGTTAACTCGTCCCGTGGTAAGTTCGTAAAGAACTTGTGTTACAGGTACCAGATAACGGAAATAAATGTAAGATTTTTATTATACACATACATATTTTAATATACATCCATAACCCTGGAAAAGACATTTTATATTATTCATACAAAATATCTTCCCTTGGCGGGATTCGAACCCGCGACCACCTTGTGTAGTGACCATGTCACTTACCACTACACCAGACGGCCGTCATTTTGACAGGTGTTGCGAGAATTATAAAAGGTACCTACAATAATAGTTCTTTGAATACATTTTATTAAGCTGTGGTCTTCAGCGTTTGCTAACATAATTTCAAGTTCCATCTCACATCAACTAAACTCAATTAACTAAACTTCATAGTCATGAAGAGATGATAGTGGCTCCAGTATAATCGGGAACACATCTATAGACACATAAAACTTATATATACGACGACACACTGGTGGTAGGACCTCTTGTGAGTCCGCACGGGTAGGTACCACCACCCTGCCTATTTCTGCCGTGAAGTAGTAATGCGTTTCGGTTTGAAGGGTGGGGCAGCCGCTGTAACTATACTGAGATCTTAGAACTTATATCTCAAGGTGGGTAGCGCATTTACGTTGTAGATGTTTATGGGCTCCAGTAACCACTTAACACCAGGTGGGCTGTGAACTCGTCCACCCATCTAAGCAATAAAACAAACACACACACACACACAAAACCGATTCGCATGAGCAATGGCGATCACTTACCGATTTTACGGACCTGGTGAATTTCTTTTAAACACAAATCTCACGTACTTAAAACACATAAACTCACTATCGAAATCGAGGGATTATTTTTCATTAGATTTTATTTTTCCGCATTCACTAAACTCACATATGATAGTATTGACGTTGTCACGTACATATGATTACACGGACGTGTATAATATCGTTGTTGTGGACTTCGATAAGATTGTGTTTGCGCGCCTGATAACTTGAGTGTCAATTGGTGACGTCACTGGGTTAGCCCGGGTTGACACTGGGGAGCAATTATTACGAACATTTTCATCGGCTTTCGCGCTATTTAAACTGTTCTAACGGCTTAGTCTCGCTTTTATTGTAGTCATTATATTATTTCTAAAGCTGGTGGTAGGACCTTTTGTGAGTCCGCGCCTATTTCTGCCGTGAAGCAGTAATGCGTTTCGGTCTGAAGGGTGGGGCAGCCGTTGTAACTATACTGAGATCTTTAGAACTTATATCTCAAGGTGGGTGGCGCATTTACGTTGTAGATGTCAATGGGCTCCAGTAACCACTCAACACCAGGTGGGCCGTGAGCTCGTCCATCCATCTAAGCAATAAAAAAAAGAAAGGCTTCAGAGTTGAGGTTCCATTGAGAAACTTTTGAGGAATTGTTTGAGATGATCCGATCTCGTTTTTACTAACACACCGCCCGCCACCGGAGTTAAATTTATCAATACTACCTAGAAACACTGCGTTCATCCATAGTACGCTTCCAGATTTTTTTTTTCACGTACCACCCGGCTTTGGAACGTACTCCCCTCTACGGTGTTTCCTGAGCGCTTAACCATGTCCTTCTTCAAACGAGGCTTGAGGAGAGTACTTAACGGTAGGCAGCAGGACTTCAATGGGCGACGGTAACCACTCACCATCAGGTGAGCAGTATGCTCGTCTGCCTAGGGCAATAAATAAAAAAAGTGTGTGTGTCCGCTCCGACGCACGACTGGAGTTTACTGGATATAAATATAAATTTGTGTCAGTTGAATACAGTAAAATATGCATTTATTAAAAAAGCTTTATTAATAAATGATTTGTAGCGGGTTATATTCGGGTATCAACCCACTAACAGTTGATACGTTCAGGAATCGAACCCGAACGGCGTCCGGCCACAAGCAAAACGATGTCGGTAAATTAAACGAAACAATACGAGAAATAGTTCTATATTACGACAACACGATACACTACAGATTATTAACAAATTAACGAGACACAAAACAAACGACTAACAAATATATGAAAATACAATAATGAGAGAAACGCGCGATCAGTACGAGGCTTTGTGGCGGACTGCCGGCGCAGCAGCCCGGCGTCACCTGCGATAACGCGGCCGCGCGTTGGCTCCTGATTGGCGCGCGCACGCATCACCATGGCCAATCAGGCGCATAACGCATTTCGTGTGACATGCTATACTCTCTAGTACGATTTTGGTCCCCATAATTTTCATACCCCGGGCCTATATATGTAAATCGATTCTTAAGGAGTAAACTCCAAAAAACTTGGAAAACTGCACGGTTTTCGTGGCACGGAAGACCGGTGCTTTAATTACAGTTACGGCAAAATCTAATCTCTCCACTAAGGAAGTTCCTTGTTAACATTTAAAATAATCTTCCTGATTGTGCTCTATAACGATAATTGATTCCTTTAAACCTTACGCGATAGCTCTGCGGGGCAAAGTGAGTTGTTAACACTTAACGCAAGTATTTTGAAGATACGTATTTTTTACTGGCGGTAGGACCTCTTGTAAATCCACGCGGGTAGGTGCTACCGCTCTGCTTATTTCTGCCGTGAAGCAGTAATGCGTTTCGGTTTGAAGGGTGGGGCAGCCGTTGTAACTATACTGAGATCTTAGAACTTATATCTCAAGGTGGGTGGTGCTTTTACGTCGTAGATGTCCATGGGCTCCAGTAACCACTTAGCATCAGGTGGGCTGTGAGCTCGTCCACCCAACTAAGCAAAAAAAAAAACGTTTGCGTTTTTTATTAAGGTTCAAATTTTGAAAACCATGAACTAATAAAAGGTGGCGCTTGAGTCCTTTTTACAAATGCCTTCAGTTCCATTCATTTTAGCAGTAGTCACCGATATAGAGTAAGTCTATTAGGCAACATTTGCGTGACACACAATTGAGATGTAGATGTCGGATCTCGTTGTGGATGGTGGTATGCACGATGTGACGACTACGCTTCGGTAATCACTCAGCGCCGGACGGACCAAAAACACAACCTTCCCTGGAATTTTACCAACAACTGTAATATCAAAAGCTGCTTAGAAACACGACGACGACAAACATACAAACATTCAGTTTTGTCTGTGTACATATATACACACTATCTATACTAATATTATAAAGAGGAAAGATTTGTTTGTTTGTTTGTATTGAATAGGCTCCGAAACTACTGAACCGATTCGAAAAATTCTTTCACTGTTTGGAAGCTACACTATTCCCGAGTGACATAGGCTATAATCTTTGTTTTTTTAAATAGGGATCCTTACTAAAACTCCAATAATGTAACCCAAGGTGTAAAAGATACTTAAAATATTCTTTACATCGCGTGTCCTGCGAAAACTATTAATGATAGTATAAAATAATGTAGTACGACTTTGTAGAACACATTATTATTTACAAAAAGTGTCGCGATAGCATATGTCTAAATATTATAGTTATGCCGCAATAAGTATTCTTTTATTTAAAAAAATAAAACAACGTTAAATATCGTTGAATTTTTGTTAAAGACCCGAGCGGAGCCGGTGCGGGCCGCTTGTTTAATTATAATTAGAAGGTTAACAAAATATTCGGAATAAATAGAAATTCTACCGGAGTACAACTTAAGACTGTATTAGCACTTAGAACACTTAAAATACTTCACAATCACTTAAAAATTCTTAATTCACTTCTTTCGCTTCGCCTCAGGTGATTCGTTCGAGTAGTTCCGATTACTACCTAAGTTGTACTATCTCTGCAACGCTTTTATAGCCGATACGACATCCCTAGAATTATCGAGAACATTCCTCACGAGTCGAATATTTTCGACGTGTGTTTCCGCTATCTGACAATATATGGCGTTCTCGAGCATTCTAGATGTTACTAGGTCCTTTGATATTCATTTCGGTATTCGGCAATAGATGGCGTTACTCTTACCGGCGTAACAATATGTTTAGTGTCTTGTCCACTATTATTTACTACGTGGTTCTTAGATTTAGTGACAGAGTGTTCTCAAAGTGTTCGGAAGAAACTGTCATAAACTATAATATATATGTATGTATCATAAGTGTATATATGTACTAAAACCGGACTAAGTTGAGGGTAGACAGTTCATTATCCGTTCATTAACTGCTCCTAGCATCCCACAATCTTTCCTCTATCAGTCTTGTTGGCGCTAGAAATATGTCGATATATCGAGACCTCGTCAAATGTGAAGATGGAGGTAACAACTCCTTAAATAATGTAGCGTTTGTGTTATTATAGA